ATGTGAGGGGTGAAGAGGACGACGAAGAAAGTGAATCCTTATGCAAAGAAACTCCAAAAGGTGACATCAGTCTTATCAAAATGGATAGGAAGGAAGGTAGCGACAGTTCAGATGTAGAAGATGATATTCAAGAGGGTAAAAGGGAATGACCGGTGAAGTTGTTTGAAAGCTCGCTTTAAAGAGATCAATACCAAGATGAAGATCCACTAAATGGAATGATTGGCTCTGCTAAATGCATACTTCATAAATTAATTCATTGAATTTTTATTGAAGAGTGTTGCACGATTTTTGACAAACCACAGAAAAGAGAGATGTGTACATGGTCTGAATTGTCAAGATGTTCATTTGAAAAATGAAAGCTGGAGATGAGTAAGTAGTGTCATACTTCGCATTGTAAGTAAGTAGTGACCATTTTCACCTCACATGTGAACTTCAGATGTGGTGTTCATTTCTGGAAGAATTTGAAAAATGTTTTCCAAAAAGGTCAACTATTTGAGGGACCATCTCATATTTAGTGGCAGTTTTGTTCCGTACATTCTATCTGAAACTTAAGGGTGTGAATCAGTTAAATGTAGTTGTTTAAATGTTTGTCTTTTCTTTTCTTTTGTTCCTGTAACATTGAAAAATAAGTTGATTATGCAAAACTCCTGTATATTTGTAATATAAACTTGTATCTTAATGTTTTCCACACATAACTTGACATTTTAAAGTAGTTTAAAGTTTCTTTCCTTTTCATTGAGGTGTCAGAACCAACTTATGTGTGCACTTCAACTATTGGTACTTGCTACCTTCTACCAGCATAGATACTGAGTTACTCTTGCATTAATGCTAAAGTAGATAAGATAAATTACCTAGCATGTAGCTTAAAGTTTGTTTTTTTACTGTCAAAGAATAATGGAGAGAGAATTTTATCTTTGATTTTAAATGGGGAACTTTCACAAATGACTATTGTTTGGAGGCTTATTAATGGACGTAGCTGTAATTTAGCTAATTACATTCCGTAGCTACTAATTGTTTGTCATGAGATGCATGTCGCTGTATTCAATTCGGTTGTATACTCTGTATTTAATTCGGGTATATTCATTCATATATATTTTATATTGTATTCAATTTTACCGTATTGAATTCAGTTGTATTCAAACAATAAAAAAATCAAGAAATAGGGTGTATATCGCTCTATTCAATTCGACTGTATTCACTGTATTTAATTCGGCTATATTCATTCTTAACTATTTTACATTGTATTCAATTTCACTGTATTCAATTCGATTGTATTAAAACGACAAAATCACAAAAACAGTGATATTCGGCTGTATTCAATTCTTTGTATTCATTCATAGATGCTTTTACACTGTTAATTTACTGTATTTAGGCTGTATACAAACAACAAAAAATCCAAAAAATACAGGGATCTGCCACAAAAAATAACCTCCGGAATACCATAAATACAAGCAAAAATACAAAAAAAACAGTATTTGCATTGAAAAATATAGAAAACACTCAAATTTGAATGTATTTGTACAGAATATAATGTATTTGTATCATTGTATGTGACTCAATTGCAAAGAAGAGAAGAAATTTCGCCGGAGATGGCGTCTCTGGCCTAGCAAAACTCCGTGTACATTGTATTAAAACTAAGAAATGAAGACGAACAAAAATCCGACCAGATCTGAGAATAAACTATCACAATGTACCAATCAAAATCCGGGAAGACGAACAAAAATCCAGCCATAATGTGTATTTTGTTGTATTTAATTGGCCACAAAAAATAAAATATACTAAAATATGAGAAATACACTCAATTCTAATATTTCCTTTTGGATATAATAACTTGTAAAAAAATGATAAACGAAAAAGAGGGAGAGGGAGATCGCCAGTTTCGGCTTTCAACAGCGACGACTAGATAGTTGAAATGGAGCAACAGTAACAAAAAAAAAAAAGGAGTTGTTTCAATCTCTTATTGTTTTGTTTTTATATGGCTGTTCGTAGATAATTGAAATGGAGCAACAATAACAACAACAAAAAAAAACCAGTGTAATCCCACGAGTGGGGTTTGGAGAGGGTAATGTGTAAGCAGACTTTACCCCTACCTTTGAGGGTAGAGAGGCTGTTTCCGATAGACCCTTGGCTCAAGGAAAAAAAAGAAAGCAGTAACAACAACAATACCAACACAAGATAATAAGAAACAAGCGGTAACCATGACAGGATAATAAGAGAGCATGCATTACAAATCAATAAGAAAACATGTAGTAACCAAGGCTGATAATAACCGAAAAACAAGACTGACTAACTACTACTACCTGTATGGGAAGACACACACTCGACTACTTACTAACCTTCTACCCTAATCCTCGACCTCCACACTTTCCTATCAAGGGTCATGTCCTCAATGAGCTGAAGCAATGTTAAGTCCTACCTAATAACCTCTCCCCAATACTTATTTGGCCTACTTTTACCCCTCTTCAGACCACCCAAGGCCAACCTCTCACACCTCCTCACTGGAGCATCTATGCTTCTCCTTTTCACATGCCCAAACCACCTAGGCCTCGCTTCTCGCATCTTGTCCTCCATTGAGGCTACTCCTACCTTGTACCGAATGTCTTCATTTCTAATCTTATCAATCCTGGTATGTCCGCACATCTATCTCAACATCCTCATTTTCGCTACCTTCATCTTCTGGACATGAGAGTTCTTGACTGGCTAACACTCTGCTCCGTACAACATGGCAAGTTTGACAACCACTATGTAATACTTAACCTTAAGTTTAAGTGGCACATTCTTATCACATAAAACACCGGATGCGAGTCTCCATTTCATCCACCCCGCTCCAATACGATGAGTAACATCCTCATCAGTTTCACTATTTCCTTCGATAATAGACCCAAGGTACTTGAAAATAGCTCTCTTATAGATGACTTGTGTATCAAGTCTCACTTCCACGTCCGGATCCTCAGTTTCGTCATTGAACTTGCACTCCAAGTACTCAGTGTTGGTCCTACTCAACTTNGAAGTACCATGAGAGACCTGTGGAGCTGACTGAAAGGGCCTCGGAGGATGGCCTCTACCATAAGAATCTCTACCTCCAGATGAGGTACCACTGAACCTACCTGCATGACGGGGCCTCTTATCCGGCCCATGACCACCTCCCCGTGCAAGAGCCATCTCAACTCTACGGGCCGCATTGGCCGCCTCCTGAAAAGAAATCTCACTCCCGGCTCCCATAGCCATCTGGAGACGGATCGGCTGAATCAATCCATCAATAAACCTCCGCACCCTCTCTCTCTCGGTGGGGAGTATAACAGTAGCATGGCGTGCTCGATCAATGAACCGGGTCTCATACTGAGTGACTGTCATAGAGCCCTGCTGGAGGCGCTCGAACTACCTGCGAAGAGCCTCTCGCTGAGTAACTGGGAGGAAATTCTCCAAAAACAACTCTGCAAACTGGTCCCAAGTCAATGATGGCGACCCTACTGGTCTGGATAAACAATAGTCCTTCCACCAAGTCTTGGCGGATCTTGCTAGTCGAAAGGTGGTGAAGTCGACCCTATTGGTCTCCACAATACCCATAGTCCGAAGAACCTCATAGCAGCTAAATAAGAAATCCTGGGGGTCCTCTGTAGAAGCACCGCTGAATGTGGTGGTGAAGAGCTTGGTAAACCTATCCAGCCTCCACAAAGCATCTGCGGACATAGCCGCTCCATCGCCGGTCTGAGTCACAATACCCGGCTGAACTGCCACAGCTGGCTGAACCACTGGAACCTGAGCCTGGGGAGCTACCTACTCCGGAGTACGTGTAGCAGGAGTCTGAGCTCCTCCTCTAGCCTGAGAAGTGGCTGGTGCTACTGGAAGCAAACCCGCTCGAGAGACGCTCTCCATGAAGCCTACCAACCTGACCAAGGCGTCCTGAAGAACTGGGGTGGCTATAAACCCCTCTGGGACCTGAGTTGGGCCCACCGGAGCTGCTGGGGCTAGAACCTCCTCATCATAATCAACATGAAGCTGAGCTCTGCCCCTCGTAGGAGCTGGCTAGGGGCTCGGGCTGCTGTGCGGTAGAAGAGGAAGCACGTGTTCTCGCTATCAGCGAAAGAACAGAGTAGAAAGACAATCAGTATTTGAGAAACAGAATCGCACGACAAGAAAGATTAAAAGTGAAGTTTTCCTAACTCTGTAGCCTCTGGGGATAAATACAGACGTCTCCGTACCGATCCCTCAGACTCTACCGAGTTTGTCCGTGAGTTGTGAGACCTATGTAACCTAGAGCTCTGATACCAACTTGTCACGATCCGGATTTCCCACCCTCGGGAGTCGTGATGGCGCCTACTAGTAGGAGCTAGGCAAGCCAAATTAATTCACTTCTTTTAGCAATTATCGATCATTTCATAAAAAAAAAAACGTAATATGATAAAGCGGAAGTCTCAATATATAACTAACTGAAAGAAAATGTGGAAGTTTAACAGAATCCTCTACCCAAGAACTGGAGTCACGAACTCACGAACGNTATAGTCGGTTTTTTCCGGTTATTTTTTTATTAAAACTAAAACCAAACCAAATTTGATCGGTTTTTAAAATTCAAAACCAAAACCAAACCAAACCTAAAAAGTATCAATTTTTTTGGTTGGTTTGGTTTGGTTTTCGATTTGGTTCGGTTTTTCGGGTTTTTATGAACATCCCTAGTCTCGTCAATCACAACAATATCATCCGTAACTAACATACACCAAGGCACCTCCCCTTGAATGTGGCTCGTCAGTGTGTCCAATGCCTAGGTAAATAAGAATGGGCTAAGAGCTGACCCTAGTGCAACCCCATCACAGCTGGAAAGTGGTCCGAATCCCCCCCCCCCCCCCCCCCCNGAAAAGTGGTCTAAATCCCCCCCATAGTCCTCACTCGTGTCTTGGCTCCATCATACATGTCCTTAATCACCCTAGTGTAAGCCACCAGAACACCCCTAGCCTTCAAACACCTCCATTGGATTTCCCTCGGGACTTTGTCGTATGCTTTCTCTAGATCAATGAACACCATATGTAAGTCTCTCTTCCTCTCCCTATACTGCTCCACCAGCCTTTACAAGGTGAATGACTTCCATAGTCGAACGTCCCGACATGAATCCGAAGTGGTTTTCGAAAATAGACACGCTCTTCCTCACCCTCACTTCCACCACTCTCCCAAACTTTCAAAGTGTAGCTGAGCAGCTTGATACCCCTGTAGTTGTTACAATTTTGGATATCTCCCTTGTTCTTATACACCGGAATCATCGTACTACACCTCCATTCCTCATGCATTTTCTTCGTCCTAAAGATGGCGTTAAACAACTCCATGAGCCATTCCAAGCCAGCTCTAGCCACGCTCTTCCAAAATTCTACTCGAATTTCAGCTAGCCCAGCCGCTTTTCCCCTGCACATCTTACGCATAGCCCCCTCGACCTCCCCATTTTGATATGCCTACAAAAACCAAATTCACGACGACTCTCGGAGTGCTCCAAATCATCCAACACAATACCACCCCTATCCCCCTCTTCATTTAGGAGTTTATGGAAGTATGACTGCCATCTACGTCTAATATGCGCATCATCCATCAATACTCTGCCATCCTCATCTTTGATGCACTTCACCTGATCTAAGTCATGGGCTTTCCTTTCTCTCACCTTGGCTAGCCTATACAACTTCTTATCTCCACCCTTGTCACTAAGTTCCTCATACAAACGTCCAAATGATGCCATTTTAGCCGCCGTAACCGCTAACTTCACCTCTTTCTTGGCCCTCTTATACCACTCCTTTTTCGTCCTCTTCTCCTCTTCATCCTTGCTCTCCACCAGTTTCAAGTACGCTGCTTTCTTGGCTTTTACTTTTCCTTGGACCTCGCCATTCCACCACCAATCCCCCTTGTGACCTCCAGAGTAACCTTTCGAGACCATAGCACCCCTCTAGTAGCTTCCCTAATGCAGTTCGGTGTCAAAGTCTACATACCACTCGTGTCCCTACTCCTCCTCCATGCCCCTATAGCCTCCAACTTCTCCCCTAGCACCCGAGCTGGGTCCTTAGTCAAGGCTCCCCACTTGATCTTGGGTAGACTGAACAAAACCCTATTCTTCCTCTTACTTCTGATCTCCAAATCCATCACTAATAGCCTATGTTGCGTTGAGAGATTCTCGCTTGGAATAACCTTACAATCGGTGCAAAGACCTCTATCGCACATTCTTAGGAGTAGGTAGTCAATCTGGGTCCTGGCAACCGTACTCTGAAATGTCACCAAATGTTCCTCCTTCTTCCAAAAACCCGAGTTAGCTATCACCAAATTAAAAGCCTTTCCTAAATCCAACAGTGAAGAACCACCTCCGTTTCTAACCCCAAAATCGAACCCGCCATGCACATCATCATAACCCTCCGAAGACAAAAGCTCCCTCCTATAAATAACTTCTCGTAAAGCGGGATACCACAAACAACCTCATCCAGCTCATCCCAGAAATGTCTTTTGACCTCCTCGCCCAATCCTACTTGAGGAGCGTAGGCACTAATAACGTTCAACGTAAACCCTCCAACAACTAGCTTAATAGCCATCAACCTATCATTACCCTCCTAACCTCAACCACTAGATCCCAGAGTTCTCTATCCACCAAAATACCTACCTCGTTCTTACCCCTCACCCTACCTGAATACCACAGTTTATACCCGTAAGTCTCCGGTGCCCTAGAATCCTCCCACCCAGTTTCCTAGACGCAGGCAATGCTAATCTTCCTCTTCTGGAGGATCTTTGCTAACTCTATTAATTTACCTATCAAAGTACCTATGTTCCACGGCCACACTCTCAGTCTCGAAGCACTCTTGCCACCCTCACCCCCCGCCCTACGCTTCACCTGAGGACAAGACCTTACTCCTCCATCAACTACTCCAACCACCAGATTCTATGGGGGACAAATCCAAACTTATCACTAATACAAGGTAATAGTCAAACTAAAGAAGTAAACTAATTTTTTTTTTGCTTAGAGCACTAATTATAAGTGAAGATAAGAAAAACTCACACAAGTACAATTGAACACCCACAGAATGGAAATAACTCAACTAATCAACAGGTAAAGGTAAACAATCCGAAGAAGACAAATAATTACTAACAAGGAAGGGAAATAAGAAAATGTAATTGGATGTCTGGAGGTACCAACTCTAGAGGGGAAGAACCTGGATATAGTCGGGGAGTCGAGGAGTTGCTGAAGAATTAGACGACATCGATTACCGACACGCGCTGCCACTGCCGCCGCCGCTAGCTGAAGCAGCTGAACCGCCGCTGCGAACCCTACACGCTACTCCGATTAACCTGGACAATGGAAGAAGAATAAGAAACGGGGGCCCCGCCGCCGCTACTGCCACTGTACATTGGTAAATGAAGGTGAACGGGAAGGCAAGAGAGGGGGAGTAGAGGGCTATGTTCCACAACCCTACTCTCAGTCTCGGAGCACTCTTTGCACCCTCGCCCCCCACCCCCGCCTCACCTGAGGACAAGACCTTACTCCTCCAACAACTACTCCAGCCACTAGATTCTAAGGGGGACAAATCCAAACTTATCACTAATACAAGGTAATAGTCAGACTGTGTCTTATCGCCTCTTTGTGTTCATCGCAGTATATTTTTCCACTAAATGTATGTGGGTATAGTAAGGAATGAGAGAGATGGCGGCTAGGGTTAGAAATCCCCTTAGAAAAGGTATTTGCTATAAAACCGAAAACGTAGCTATGTATTATAATTATTTTAAAGTATATTTATTTATAATAAATATAGTTTATAAGTTAGTTATACCATATAAATTTCTCATTTTAAATTAATAAGATTCCCAGAAGTATTTTCTATTCTAATTGGGTTAGGCCATCAGGATGCTCGAATTTTCTATCCTTATTTTTTAAAGTTGTTCGAACATAGGCCCATTCGGCAGAATTTTTCCTTCTTACCTCCATTTTCTCTTTGAATGCCACAAGCGCTTTCTCCTCTAAAACCCAACTCTACAGCCACCTCACAAATCCAACATGACGGCTCTAGTCAACCAATGCATTTTGATCCAGACCAACAACTAACAAAGACAAAAATGACACAGTCAAGCCTAGTGTAGAGAAGTGGTGTGAGAAAATATCAAGAAAATACTAAAACTATAGGAACTTTAATTTCAGGTGATACTCAATTAATTCTCATGCAAATTGATAAAACAAAACTTCATAAGTAATTGAGTCTTCCAATAATAAAAGATTCATATTCGAGCACTCTGATAAACTTGAGCTAGTAGCAAGTTTTGTCAACCCACCAAAACTTATGAGCAAAATAACACGAGATAAATGTTGCCTATTTTGTAGAATGCAATTTGTACCAATGTTATGCTCGCCAAGAACGAGTTACATTAAAGTCATACCCGCCCGTCATAACTTGTGAACAAGGAAAGTTTTGCCCGTTTGGCAGATCTTTGTAAAAAACTTGTGCTAAAGATATGATCCACCCGACATAACTTTTGAACAACATAAGTTGTTCACAAGTTATGTCCAACAAGACTTGGGTACAAGACTATTTTTGCATAATTTCCTCAAATGGGGACAATTTCAAAGGGAAATTGATACTGGGTGACAAATTATAATAGAAATTGGCAATTTTTTTTCTTTAGATTATGTTGGCAAAGATAGACCAAAAAATTGGCATTGTATAGTCAAATCCAAAAAAAATTTGATTCCCTATTTATTCTCTCTCCCCATACTCGTTTTTCACTATTCTCGTTGCCATCTCTCTCCTCTTCAAACGATTTTATCAAGGGTAAATCTCCACTGATATTTCATTACTACCTCTATTTTTAACCAGTAAAGCAACCCCCATTTACTTCTCTACAATCGGCCACGAGCCATTGCCACGACATGTTGCTAGATATTCCCTTTTTTTTCAAGAGGCAGTTTTTAGTTTTCTTTTTTTTCTTCCCTCTTGTTCTCTTTTTTATTTTATTTTATTTATTGTAATGGTGTTTTTGTTTCGATAGAATGATTAGTGGCTATGGTATTTTGTGGTAGTGATGCTGTAGATAATGTGTGAAATAGAAAATATGGGTGTTTGAGGCGGTGTACATCTGTGTATATCACCATATATACTTGTATGTATATCATGTAGTATAGCGCGATATACATTATTATATGTGTGATATATCCTATATACAATGTGATATATATTATCAGAAATTGGTTGGATTGTGGACCATTTTTGATATACATTTTTCATATATCACAAAAAATATTTTGATATACATTTTATTATTATGTTATACACTGTAATATACAAACAATATAATTTTTTTTATGTTATACACTTGGATATACGATAGATAATGCATATACGACAAAATACATATTGTTATATATATGGGGATATACACTTAGATATACAATAGATAAACGTATATACAACAAAATATACAGTGATATATACATGGGGATAAACCCCTCTTGGATGAAGATTTCTTTCCATCTTCTTCCAAGTTTCATCTAAAAAAATATCGCTCATAGTTTAAAAGTAAAAGACCCAATGCACATTATTACCTAAAAGAACGATGCCAATAAAACCTAATAAAGTGATTAATGAAGGAGTAAAATAAGATAGTGATTTGGGGTTAAATTGAAATAATATGGAGAAAAACATCGGGAAGAAGAGAATAAAACCGTCAGAATAGAGAGAAAAAGAGAGAGAGGTGGGGAGATATGTACGTTGATGAGCTGTAATTTCAGGCTAAATAAATTTGGCTATAAAATATCAAATAATTCTATTAAAAATTTAAAGTTAGGCTAAAGGGTGTCAATATCTATAAGTATGACTTTTTTTTTCTTGTTAGTTACTTAGGTGCACTGTCACCCGGTGCTAAATTCTCAAATTCAAACAGCAACATAAAAGTATTGAGAGCCCAAAAGTATTGATAGAACTTGCCTATAGCTTCATAACTTCAATGTACAAATCCAACCATCACAAAAAACAATAATATGTAAAAGTATATACATACTAGGTAAAAATTATGCTAGTGGATCTCTTTAGGATCACTGTTTAAATTTGACTTCAGTTATGTAAACTTCAACATATAGTGTATTAAATCTTCATCTCAGTTTCATAAATCTAAATAATAGTAGCTCATGACTTGTGCTATCAGTACTTGGGATAGTTGTACTGAATTCTTTCATAGTTTAATTAATAATATTTACGATTCCTTGTTATAGCTGTAACTTATACTATTTGACTTACCTAGGGGGTTGGGTTAGGTGTCATCACGACTTGGTGGGTTTTGGGCCATGACAGAGGCATATGCAGTTCCTCAATAGTTCAACCATTTGTGTCCTTTCATTTGAAAAGAAGATAACAAAAAATGTGTCTTTGGGCAACAAGCTATTGTCCCATCCAATAAAACACCAGGTGTTTAGCGTCTGCAATGACCCAAACAATCGTTTAGAATATTTTAGCCCCATTTCCTCTATTTGATACTTTATATATGTGTATTTATGGTTACGTGACTTGCCGGGGTGGTTGGTTTGGTTTCGGAAAAGTTTTGGATTGAACGGGGACACGTCCTTTGGCTGGAGGCTTAAGTTGTAAGAGTTGACGTGAGTTTGACTTTTGTGTAGACAACTCCTGAATGGTATTTTGACAGTTCTGGTAGCTTCGTATGGTGATTTTGAACTTAGGAGTATGTCTAGATTTGGGTTTGGAGGTTCCTAGCTTGTTTTGGCAAAAATTGAAAAGTTCATAGGTTTGACCGGAAGTTGACTTTGTTAATATCGGGCTAGGATTTCGGTTTCGGGAGTTATAATAGGTCCGTTTTATCATCTGGGACTTGCATGAAAAATTTGAGTCCATTCGGAGTTGTTTAGGCATGTTCGACGTAAGTTTTGAATTTGAAAATTTGGATTAGTTCCTTAGG